CCACGGAGCCGGCGGCGCGCAGCTCAGCCAAGACGAGGACCCGCGGCGCTCGGGGACCGCGACTGCAGCGCTCGTGGCCCGGGTAACTGCCTCCCTGTCCCCGCTCCAGCTTGCAAGTGCCGTCACCAGGGGTGGGAGCAGCCCCGGGGGTCTCTGGCACGCTCGGCGTGGACTCCCGCACCCTCCGGGGCGCGCGCGCGTGTGCACGGGTGTGTGCGCGCATGTCTGTGCGCGCGCGCGTCCTTCCCTGCTCCCTCGTTCCAGCCTCCGAGCCAACTTGTACCCATCAACTCCCATCTTCGCACTCCCTGCTGTCCCCCCCGCACAGAGATACCCGGCGAAGTCTCCCGGTTTTCCCTGTGGCGTTTCCAGTGACATCTGCGGGCCTCCTTCCCCCCCTGCGCTGTTGGAGACAGGCAGGAAGCAAAGTTTGTCAGGAGCCTCGGGGGTGACTTTGCCCCGGGGACCCGTATTTATAGGTGTGCGAGGTGCCCCGGTGTGCGCCGAGCTCGCTTCCCAGGTTCCCGGGCAGTGGGTGCCGGGCCCTGGGACCCCTCCCTTCTCGAGGCCCCTCCGGCGATTTGTTTAGGGAAAGTGATGACATGAACTAGTAGCGGAGAATCGCAGGCGCCGGTCCCGCCCTGGGGAGGGAGGGAGCTCCCTCCCGAGAGCTTGTCGGCGAGATCTGGAAGCAGGCTCCAGGGCTCAGCGCCCCTAAAGCCCGAGAGGCAGGATCTGGGGGCTGGGCGCAGGGTGTGCGAGCCGAGCCGGGGTTGGGGAGCTGCTTGAATGCCGCCCTGTGACCGCCGCGATGAGGGAACAGCCCTTATTTGCCTGGCTCTGATTCTCGAGGCCGACGTGGTTGTGGAATGCAAAAGCCAGAACATGATGGAAACAGGTTTGTCATGGCATCTTTGGAATTTCAGACAGGGGGAATTCATCGGAGTATCATCCACCTCATTATTGTGCCCTTTGAAACTTCCTCGGGGATTTTAAGATAGATGGATCTCGCAGCTGGGTCTTTATACCCACAGAGCTGACTATAATTTCCACTTGATTACAGCTAAAATAGTCTTTAAGATGAAGTTTCCTGAAATGATTTAAAATAAACACAGATGGGAAGGGGGAAAAGCTGTAATGAGGCACTTAAAAAATAAAGTGAGCATTTTCTTAAGAGCAAATGGGATTTTTCAGTCTTGGAGAGATTGCAAGATAAATGTGTTTTTAAAAAATCTTTGAAATGGGGGCTTTTTAAAAACTGCTTTTAAAAGAAACGCTACTGACTCTGAACAAGCATTTCCTCCCCCCTCTCTCTGTTTTTGCCATCTTCCTGACTTTGGAATATGTCCTCCTTTCTTCCAAGGACTTGGAGAGCCCTTCAGAATGCCGGAGGAAAGTTCCCCCAGGAAGACCCCACAGAGCGTTCCCTACCAGGACCTCCCTCACCTGGTCAATGTGGATGGGCTGTACCTCTTCTGCAGGTACTGGAAGCCCACGGGCGCGCCCAAGTAAGTCTCCCCCCCCCCAGTCTGCTCCAGACTCCGGTGGGAACGTTCCGGGCTTCTTCCCCCTCTTCCCCCTCACGGAGCATTTCCTTCGGGGCCACTTTACCCATGACCCACTTTGTGTGCCGTTCTAATGTAGGGCGCTGCAGTGCTGACAAGACCAAGATTTATACATTACCGCTTTTTTAAATTAAGAAGCACGAGTTCGGTTTTCATTTGATAACAAGTAGGATGCAGATCATACTGTATGGCCATGTTCGGAAATTACCCATGACTTTGTCTTTCGTGCTGGAGTGGATTTCCTGTTGTACAGGTATTCCTTTTAGCCAACAGAACACCACCCTGTCGGGTCGGAAATTAGAAAATTTTATGTAAGGTACAGGGGACATACAGAAATGGATAGAGAAAATACATAAACTAGGCAGTATATTAAACAACAGAAACATATATGGTAACCTTTGTTCTCGTGTTTGATTATGAGCTTCAGAAGGTGTCGTGTGTGTAACTGGGGAGAAAAAAGGTTCTGGGTATTTCCTTCTGATTTCTTGCCAGCTCAATTACTTTGTACATTTCCCATCAAGGATTTGTCTTGTCTTTAGAAACCCGCATCGGGACTACACACAGCAGCTGGTCCCCTGCTGCTCCCCTCTTCGTGTATGAGACAGGGAAAACCCGACTTATTTGTGTGATTCAGGGAAAGAAATTATTTGTGGCGACCAGTTGACCTAGTGACGAGCGAATGTTTCCTGTTTGCAGGGCAGTTGACCTGTCTCAGAGGCCTCTGTTTCCTAGGGGACTTGGTGTGCCTTATGTCACCTTCTGCGCTTCAGTCATCACCCACCCCTTGCACAATTCTAAAATTTCACCTCTATCTTCAACAAGATGCGTGTCATCCAGGTAGCTGCATATTCACAAAGAAATTCAGACTTTTCGAATCAGAGCTTCAAGGCAAATACAGAGAGTGCTGAAATGGGCTGTGACTGTTCCTACCAGTTCTGGCAACGTCCCTCCCCTAGAAGAGAGTGTGTGTGTCTGTATGTGCATAGGTTTTTGAGGAGGGAGCAAGTGTTCCTAAGCATTGTCATCAATTCCCCATTCTGACTTTTGCTTGGCTCTAACTTAACTGGTTGTAAAATCGAATATTGTTGCTTTGGGTCCTAACAACTTCTTGGCATGTGGTCAGTTATTTTTCAATATTTAGAAAGGACAAAGAATGGAAAGTATAAGTTTGAAATGTTGGAGCCTTAGACCGTGACACCTTAATTGGATGAGTGGGGAGATTGTTCTAGATTGAGGTCAATGAGATGAAGTGGGCCTGCGGTCCTCACATGGGGGCGGGATGGCTGCCTTTCCTTGAGCTGTGACGGGTGTTCACAGTCTGCATGCTGATGTTGCCTTTGGGGAGCTGCCTTTGGGGAGCTGCCTTTGGGGAGCTGTCCCTGCTGCTTTACTTTTACTACAGCTCACTAGCTTAAAAGGAGCTATCTCTTGGAAGTCAGTGTTTGTGCCGTGGTGGATGCTCCTGGGGATAAGAACGGGGGTTGTGGGTGGGGAGAGTGGGGTGGATGAGGCAATTGGGCCCTAAGCTTTGAAGAGAAAGTAGTTTGGGAGGTTAGATGATGGCCAAAGTCTCAAGTCTTTAACCCAGAAGACCTGGCTCCTGCTCCAGAACTCACCTGAAGGAGCCCACCTGCCTAGCCCCTGGAGGTGATGCCAGTAAACTACTGTTTGGGGTCTGGGTCCCTCCCTCTCTGTGAGGGGGAACTCCCGAGCCCCCTGCAGTGGACCCCAACCCCAAGCAGTAGTTTATTGGTCTGTATCGCCTCCAGGGAGGCGTTAACCCTGTGGGTGCTGGTCTTGGGGAGCACCAGGGGCCCCAGAAGGACAGCCCATGGCAGCATGAGTGGTGACGAGGTGGTGACAGGTTTATGCCAAGTGGTGCAGAAGCCTTTGCCTCTCCTAATGACTGCCACTCTGCCTGGCCTAGCGTGTCTGTCTCTTCTGCTGACTTTCACCATTGCTGTTGCTGCTTTAGGAAAGGGAAAAGACCTCAGCTCGTCAGGGGCCTCTCCATGCCCTTTCCCCCTTGTTAGCCTCAGGCCTTCCCTCTTTTCCCTACCAGGGGAGGGAAAAATGCTGGTCAAATATCGTCTTCTCTCCATTCTCCCCACTTACAAATCTTTCTCACTGGGACCCTTCGGGTCTCAGAGGCCACCCTGGGATCTCCTGTTGGAGATCTCCTGCCTCTGGTAGTTGTCACTGGCTTGGATTGGTTTCCTGGCCAACAAGTTGTCTCCAGCTCCTTAGGCCTGCTCACAGCACCTGCTGGAATATTCTCAGCCCTGAAGACTGTGCTAGGCTCCAGGACAGGTTCTGCACAGGTGTCACCGGGACTGGTAACCGGCTGAACCTGCTTGTGGAATAAATTATGTCTTTGTAAGTACCAGCTTCCTCACAGTGGAGCCGGGGAAGGAAGACAGTTCATGGGGTAGTGGTTACAGTGTGTGTATCCAAACACAATGCTGTTTTTAACATAGCAGGCTCAGTATTTAATCATTGTGAACCAGGATTTTTAAGCCAACTTTTGGCAGGGCCAAGGCAAATTCATGCTCATCTGGTAGCATTTATGGTGCTAACAAGCATTCTACGTGAGGGGTAGCAGAGTTACCTCATACCAATTATCAAGTGTGTCTTGGGGTCTGGACTAGATGCTGTATGTACATGATGTCACTTTATTTTCACATTAACCTGGAGGCAAATATTATTCTCTCTGTTTTACAAATGAGGAAATGGAGACCCAAGACGGCCTGGCTGGCAAGAGCTGGATTTGCCCTCGCTCTTTCTGACTGGTTTTCTTAACTCACCCCCAGGCAAGGCGGCTTTGTCTTAACAAGTGGTATCATCCTGATAGGGCCTTACATTGTTGCTTACATAGAGTGAGAGAATAATTAATTCACCTTAATTGTTTGTTCATCGCGTATTAAAAGTGGGAAAGAGATGAAGGAAAACGTATCCATTCTGAAACCCAAAAATCTCTGATCCTTTGGGGGGACTGGCTGCCTTGTCCAGTATCCTGCAGTCTGAAAATGTGGGTTCCACACAGGTTGCGGCTGATCCACAGGGCAGAGGAGTCTGGCACAGACAGGCTGAGCTGCTGTGTGGGCTCTGGTGCCCTTGAGTGACATTTTGCCCCTTTGAATTCAGTCCACCAAGTGACCCTCAGTCCCCTCAAAGGACGTTACATTCACTGGCGAGTGTTAGGGAGCTGTCCTCAGAACTGCGAAGGCGCGATCCGAGCTCCGACCCATGTGATGATGGAGTAGAAGTTTGCGGGGGAAGGGTCACCTATGGGGGTGACCTGAAACAATATTCAGTATGAGGACTTCGACCGCAAAATAGCCCTTTTATTCTGTCTGACCAGGAAGGCCAGCAAGAGTGCTGTCAGCATGTGGCTAGCCAGCTGTGACCCTGGCAGACAGCCAGTTCTAGCACGGGCCAGGTAACACCAGGTGCTCATCAGCAAGGCCTGATGGTGTGCTGAGGGCTGCATCAGGGCTGCTCACCTTTCCTTACAGCTGAGGCTCCCTCACGCTGTGCAGACTCTGCTGTGTTAGGCCCTGGACTCGGAAGCCCTGCAGGTTTCTTTCATGTAGCTCTGACAATGACGAGAACTAGTGGGTCGAGGGAGCTGTTTCAAGTGTGACTGTCCCTCAAGCGCAGATGTCCCGATGCAAACCCCGAGGCAGGCGAGGCCTCCCACCCTGCTGGAGAATCACCGGAATTCTCGAGTGACTCATCTTCGAAAGCTCCGTCTAGCATTTTATCCCAGATCCCTCCACATTTGCAGAGACCTTCCAGCACACTGGGACCGGGGCTCCTTCTGCAGGCCTTGTTGCTTTTGCATGCCTTTCATTCCTGGCCTCCGACTTCAGTGGCCTGGCTTTTCCTTCCTGTGGCTGCAGCCATGGACAGTCCCCTCTCAGCTCCAAAGAAGCTGAGTGGGTGGGTGGCGCTCATGGCCGGGGTATGGCATCACTTGGGGAATCTCTCCCAGTTCTCAGCAGTAGCCTTTGGTGGAGTCAGTCAGTGGGCTCCCCACTCCTTCTGTCCCCCTTTTTATGCCTTATTCCCTGGAGTGGGACTCAGCTGGCCTGTCCTTCCTGCCACACCACCACGCTGCCACAGTCCTTGATGTGACCTCGGCCAGTGCCACCTTACGACACTCCTCCCACCAACGCAAAGTGACCTGGAGGAGTGCAGTTTCCCAGAGCTGGATCTGTTTCAATGCTACGCAACATCCTCCCTGCTTGCCACCTTCATCATGTCCTTCTCACATCAGTCACCAGCCACTTGGGTGTGGTGCCTGTGCCTCCAGAAGATAAGGGTTCCTCCCAACCAGCTGGCCCTGGGCCACGGAGACGCCAAGTCTTTACCATCTGGCTGGACATCATTTCGGCCTCCACTGCCATCAGGAAACTGTGCTCTGGCCTTTTCCTATTCTCCCCTCTCCCTTAGGTTTCCTAATCAGGTTATAAGTTATTTATTTGGCACCTTTTTACCCCGGCCTGGATATTTGGGCAGTGTTCTGGCATGTTCTGTGTTTCTGCTTACAGGCATATGGATCTCACCTCCCCAAGCGGCTCCCCTCCGCTCCCCCCGTGTAATGAGGTGCAGTGTCATTGCATCATTTACTTTGGTTAACACGTTCGCCTCGTCAACCAAATCCCTGAGTGTCGCCTTCTGAGCCCCAACCTGTTGGTCTCCACGGATAAGACGGCTGAACTCCCGCTGTTCCCAGCCCCTCGGCCTTCCCCCTGGCTGTCAGCTGTGGTAGCTTGGGGTCTCCCTGGAGCCTCTGTGCCAAGACAGGCTCTGAGGGCTCCCCCTGTGAGGGCCCCTGCTCCTCTCGCTCAGCCTTAGTCACGCTCCTGCTCAACAGCGCACTCCAGCAAGCTCCGGTGTTGGGGCCCTCCGGCCCGGGCATTTGTTGGGCACCAGTTGTG